GGTCACTCAGGGTCACTCAGGGTCACTCAGGCTCACCTGGCCGCTGTTGGTGGCCGCGTGGTGAGCAGAGCAGGTGTAGATCACTGTGGTGACAAAGGTGACCAGGCCACGCACCGAGTCCAGGTGGGAGGGGACACCTGGGGGGACACAGGGGTCACTCAGGGGTCACTCAGGGGTCACTCAGGGGTCACTCAGGGGTCACTGCTACCCCATGCCCACCTGAGGGGTCACCTGTGCCCACCTGAGGGCTCACCTGTGCCCCCCATGCCCACCTGTGCCCACCTGAGGGCTCACCTGTGCCCACTGAGGGGTCACCTGTGCCCCTCCAAGCCCCCCATGCCCACCTGAGGGGTCACCTGTGCCCACTGAGGGGTCACCTGTGCCCCTCCAAGCCCCCCATGCCCACCTGAGGGGTCACCTGTGCCCACCTGAGGGGTCACCTGTGCCCTCAGTGCCAACCTGTGGGGTCACCTGTGCCCCTCCATGCCCCCCATGCCCACCTGAGGGGTCACCTGTGCCCACCTGAGGGGTCACCTGTGCCCCTCCATGCCCACCTGTGCCCACCTGAGGGGTCACGTGTGCCCACTGAGGGGTCACCTGTGCCCACCTGAGGGGTCACCTGTGCCCCTCCATGCCCACCTGTGCCCACTGAGGGGTCACCTGTGCCCACTGAGGGGTCACCTGTGCCCACCTGCGGGGTCACCTGTGCCCACCTGAGCGCTGCCTCCCCAGGAAGCCTCTCTTGAAGATCTCCCACACCCAGGCCTGGAGCTCGGGATCCTCCTGGACAGCGACGTCAGAGGGGTAATAGAGAGCCAGCACACCTGAGACATACCTGGGGACACGGGGACACACCTGAGACACACCTGGGGACACCTGAGACACACCTGGGGACACACCTGGGGACACGGGGACACCTGAGACACACCTGACACACACCTGGGGACACCTGAGACACACCTGAGACACACCTGGGGACACTGGGACACACCTGAGACACACCTGAGACACACCTGGGGACACGGGGACACCTGACACACACCTGACACACACCTGACACACACCTGGGGACACCTACGACACACCTCAGACACACCTGGGGACACTGGGGACACCTGAGACACACCTGGGGACACACCTGGGGACACCTGAGACACACCTGGGGACACCTGAGACACACCTGACACACACCTGGGGACATGGGGACACCTGAGACACACCTGGGGACACCTGACACACACCTGGGGACACGGGGACACACCTGAGACACACCTGGGGACACTGGGGACTCCTGAGACACACCTGGGGACATGGGGACACACCTGAGACACACCTGGGGACACCTGACACACACCTGAGACACACCTGAGACATACCTGGGGGCATGGGGACACCTGAGACACACCTGGGGACACCTGACACACACCTGGGGGCATGGGGACACTGGGGACCTTGGGGACAGCACACCTAAGACACACCTGGGGACACCTGAGACACATCTGGGGACACCTGAGACACACCTGAGACTCACCTGGGGACACTGTGGGGTTATGGGGCTCCCAGGGCTCTCCCTGATGTCCCCGAGTGTCCCCGTGTCCATCCCGGTGTCCCCTCCCGTGTCCTCCCGCGGTGTCCCAGTGTCCCCCCCAATGTCCCCATGTCCCCCCTGTGTCCCCTCCGTGTCCCCCCCGGTGTCCCCGTGTCCATCCCCATGTCCCCGTGTCTGTCCCATGTCCCCCCAGGTCCATCCTGGTGTCCCCCACCGTGTCCCCTCCATGTCCCCGTGTCCCACCCCAGTGTCCCCATGTCCATCCCCATGTCCCCGTGTCTGTCCCCGTGTCCCCCCCGGTGTCCCCCCATGTCCCTGTGTCCCACCCCGTGTGTGTCCCGGTGTCCCCATGTCCATCCCCATATCCCCGTGTCTGTCCCCGTGTCCCCCTCATGTCCCCCCCCGGTGTCCCTGTGTCCCACCCCGTGTCTGTCCCAGTGTCCCCATGTCCATCCCCATGTCCCCGTGTCTGTCCCGGTGTCCCCCCCTGTGTCCCCCCCCACTGTCCCCGCGGTGTCCCCGCGGTGTCCCCACCTGCGGATGGCTCCCCACACCTTGGTGGCGTCGTTGCCGAAGTGGTGGCGCTTGGTGGCCGCCACCCCGCGGTGTCGCAGGTCCCGGGGCAGCACCAGCGAGCGCCAGCGCAGAGCCCGCAGCCCCCGGGCCACCAGGGCCAGCAGCCCCCGCCGGCCGAGTGCCACCGCCTGGGGACAGCCAGGGGACACTTGGGGACATGGCGGGGACACGGCAGTGCCACCCTAATCCCG